TTAGCGCCATCTGTCGGTAATTTTGGGAACTGCCTCTCTGCTGAGCTACCTTGGGAAAGCCGAAAGCCATCAGGGACCCATGGAGACAAACCACCAGGTCTGGGAGCCACTTAAAGAGGCTCTGGGCACTGTGAAAGCTTTGTGTACTAGATTTTCTGGTTCATCTTCACATTAAATTCTCCTTTGAGGTCCAGAGACTCAAAGCTGCTTACCCACGCTCACAAGGCCCATGAGTGACAATTAGGTCCTGTTATTTCTTTATGCCTAGATTGTTCCTTTAAACCTCAAGTGGTTCCACCCTCATCTCTGCCAGAGTCTTACAAATTATTTCTGGTCTCCAGTAATATCTTCAGGAACTGTGACACCCCCTCCTTCCCTAGGGATTCTGCCCTCTCCGATACCACTGTTCCCAATACTGGGTCATGTCTGGCCTGCCAGCCTTCTAGCTCTAAGGCTTAAATGAAACACTCTCTGTTATGATCCCCAAACTGGAAGGAAACAACTAATCAGCCACCCACAGGCTGCTGCCCCTAGATGGCCCTGGAACTCTCTGGGCCTGCCCTCCCTGTGCATAATGCCAGGCAGCGTTTTAAAAGACTTCTCATTTGCAAAGGAAACTGTTGGGCACTGAGTCCCACAATAACAACACTGGAGCAACAGCTCCTAGGCAGGCATCCAGGGCTGAGTTCAGGCACTAGCTAACTTCACCCCTGAAACCAGTAGCTCTCACCCAGAGAGATGGGAAGAGCCGCTTTAGAGACAGAGGGGGTCTGATTGCTGTGGTGACCGAGAGACAGCCCTGGGTCTGTCTTCACCCCTGCAACTCAGGGGCATTCCTCAGAACTGAGGTATGAGAGAATGTGAGCATTAAGTTAAAGAAGAGGCTGAAAGAATTCGTTGCACTGAGCTGTGTATACAGTTGGTGCCTAAAAAGGGAGTTGTCCTTGAGTAAATGAGCTCTGTCTTAACTCTTGGTTCCTCATTCACTTGTTTAAACAGTGTTTGTTTTTTTGGCTGGCAGTGAGAATCTCACAATCCCTCAATAGGAGTATCTCAAACACAGCCCCAAACATTGGTGAGAGGTTTTCAGGGGACAGTGACCTAGCTGTCCAGGGACAATCTCTGAGAACCAGTGGCTTGGAGCTAGGAGAGAGACTGACTGTCCCACCCTTGTGAGTTTCTTGCCGGTCTAACCCTGAATTTGTAAATATCCTCCAGTGTACTGTGTATTAGGAGCAGAATAAGAGCTCTGAGCAGGGGCATCTCCAAAGAGGGGGTGTTTATACAAGGACCCCTCATCTCAGTGTGGCCTGCCCAATCAAGGGCAGGGAAGCCATTATTTTATTAAATGCATGGAATATGCTGGAACCCGTCCTCTCCCATCACCTCACCTAGTCTCTCAAGTTGCAGTATAAGAGGAATAATTAAACTCCGTTATGAATTGGGAAGCAGAGGCCACAAGTGTCAAAGGAGAGGCCTGAGAGCGGAGGCCCAGGTCTGTGCCTGTGTAGACACTTGGGGGTTGCCGGGGCCCTTGGCTGTTGATAGCTGAGCTGTAGGCACCCTGCAGCCTGGACACAGCTGCAAGCCAGCCATCGGCGCCCTCCTCTTCTCTCCCCTCCCAGGCCCTTCAAGTGTTTTCACTGATGGGTAAATTCAGCAGATGCCTTTCGATCGCAGCCGATTAAATTAGCCCCTCTCTACAGCCAAAAGAAGATAATTATGTTTTCATTAGCCCTGGGTAATGTATTAGCCCTCGGTGGCAGCTACATAGATAGAGTAAGCAAACTGAGTCCCTTCTTCCTTTGGCTTCCCTGGGCCAACTCTGAACAGAGGACCATGGAGGAGACAGGGGGAGATGGGACACCATTTTCTCTGCCCACTGTCCACGCAGGGCTTTGTGGCAAGGCCCTGTGGTAGCCACTTCTGTGGTGTCTGGCCTGGAGCAGATGTCTGGATGTACCCACAACCAGCTCGGTTCTCTCAGACTGAGCAAGGTGACACCCTCACCACCTACCCCTAAACACCTAAAACCTCTGGTAGAATCAAGCCAGCACAGCACATCAAGTCACCACTCCAGAGAAGCTTTCTGGGAACTGTTGTCCTGCCCAGGTCTGCCTAGTCAATAGCAAAAGTCTTTGTTTGCTTGTTTGTTTGTTGTTTGTTTCCCCTGTTCTTCTTGGGAACATTAGTTCTGCCGAATGTTATTAAAGAACATCCCCAACACCCAGAGCCATCACCCTTCTCTCTGACACTCCCAGCATGGTGGCTTTGATTTCATTCCTCTCCCCTTCTCTACAAGAGAGTAGGCACTTGGGGGTCCTGGACTTGAGCTCAGTCTCATTTTATTTTTAGAGCCTGGGATGGAACCCAGGCCCTCATGCACATCAAAGGAGTGCTACCTCCGAGCCACACACCGCCCCTCTCCCCAGCCAGGATCTGGGTTCTAGTATCCACTATCTCATCCTCTACTTGGGGGGGGGGCGTAGAGGAGGCTGTGGCCAGAGCCTCCAGTACCCCCTCTGTTAGGCAGAAGTTACGAGGGAACCACTTCTTGTCATTTTGGCGACAATTTAATGAACTGTTCAAAACCAGCAACATGAGGAAGGGTCAAAAGGAGAGAGCCATGGTCCTTTGTGACAGAGTAGCTGGTATACAACCTAGGTCTCCTTGTAAAAATGAGGGTGAGTGAGGATAGCAAGACTGTCTGTGTGTCTGTCTATCTGGTGAGGGGGCTCTTTGTGTCTTGGTCTTTACATAAATGTCTATCTCTTTTTCTGTATCTCTTCTCTCTCTCATTTTTTTTCTCTCTCTCTCTCTCACACACACACCTCCTCATGGTGGCAGGCTTCTCCCCGGGCTCAAACTCTGACCTTCCAGCAGGGTCTCCAGAACCTCTTAGCCATGTCCTCACCATCACTTGCACCAGGACGCCTAGCAACAAGAACCAAATTGGGGACAGTGGGATTTCTGTCTCCTTCTCCCCCAGCAGGCAAACTCTGCTTCTGAAGGCACAGACCAGCCTTGGCCCTGAGCCCACATGTCACAGCTCTACCTTCCCTACTGACCACTGGCTGTTCAGTTTCACAGCCAGGATGGAAGATGGCTCATGCTGGACCTGCCGCCCTGACTCCCACACAGCAGGCAGGCACGAGGCTCTGGAGCAGGTGAACCACCAGCCCAGTGGAGAAGCAGCCTCCCTTCCTGGTTTCCTGATTTTTCCCCAGTTGCCATGGTAATTGAGGGAGCAGTGTTGAGACCCAACACCATGGAAGCCCAGTGCTCAACTTTGAGAGGGAGAAGCCAGGCCCAGGCTGCAAGGACCCATCCAGCCTCTTCTTTTGGGATACTCATTTACCCATTGGCATAGAGGCAGTCCTTCCAGTCAGCATCGCCATGGATGGCTGGTTTCTTTCAGAGCAGGTACTGTATGCCAGACACTAAACTAAGAGCATTGTCACCATTGGTTAACTGTACAAGCCTCACCACAGCACAAGACCCATGTCAGGCTCAGGAAGCAGGCTCCAGATCTGGCACACCCAGTCAGGAAGTGGCAGAGCCCTGGAGGCCAATGGAATTTCTCAGGCCCTTCCTGAAGGAGATTCTTCACACCTCACTAGCTTTCTCTTCGGTTTCCCTCCCAGTCTCTCCTCCCCTCCTCATCTTCTCTTGCACCCCTCAAGGTCATACCCCCTTTCCTCAGACTTGATGTGGAAGATATCCAAAGACTGTGAGCGACAAGGAGGGGTAGCCTGGCCCTTGGTTCCCATGCAACTGTACCCTGAGCGTGCTGTGCCTTTGGTGAGACTGAGGGGGGAAGATCAAGCTGGCAGCCAGGTGCCTGGGTGTGTTTGAGTCTGTGTGTTTGGGTCTGAATCCTCCTCTCTTTCCTTGAGTCCACCCCTCCCCGCAGAACACACACACACACACACTCTGTCCCCAAGAGTGTGTGAGCAACAGCGACAGCTAAATGCAAAAACGCCTGTGCAATCTGCCCAGGAAGAAACAGCTTTGGAGACGGGTTTATATGGTTACCCATATGTTAGAGCCCCTAAGAAAGGAAGGAAAGAAAGGGAGCTCTGTGTCTGCCCCTCCCCCAGCTCAGTTCTTGGCCTCTCCTGGTACTGGAGTCCCCCAGACATAGAGGAATAAGACCTCAGGGGGTTTTCCACGCTCCCCCAAGATACCACACCTCCACTCTGCTCCGAAAAACACCAAAAACCAGGCATCTCTTCCAGAACGTCTGCCCACCCAAGAACCAGGGCCAGAACCCAGCCTGGCTTCTGCTAACTCGGCGAGGGGCTTCCGGCCCTGCTCTAGGGACGGTGCTCTAGTTTGTCCCATTAGGGAATCCTACCACCAGGTAGGACAGAAACAATCACCTGCCTCAGCTAGGACCTTCCCTGCCCAAACAGCCTCCCTTTCTGTGGTGGTCACTACATCCAGTCCTCTTCATGGTCCCCCAAATTTTCATTGTGTGTGTGTTGATTTTTTTTTTCCTGATAGGAAAAAAAATGGAAATTAGGTTACATAAAAGATGTATGCTTCCGAGCCCAGAGCGGCCCTTTTAATGAGGGTTGCGACGTCTCCCTCCCCACGCCCATAAACCAGCCGGTTGGACGTCACCGCTAATTCGTTTCAGCGGTGATAGGATAAAGCAGGGACATTAAGAAATAAATTCCCCCTCACGACCCTCGCTGAGCTCGCTGCGCGGGTCCCTGCATACTGATGTAGCCGCGGGGCACGAGCGGCTACTTAGCACAGCGGCTGCTCCGAGGGGCAGCTGCGGTGGGGTGAGCCGGGTCGCGCGTGGGGACGCTGGCAGCCTCTAGGACTGAACTTGGCTAGGCTAGGGCGGAGCGAGGCGGGAGCGAGGGGCTGGGAGGGGGCGGGGAGCGCTCGCTCTGGAAGCTCCTACCCTGTGGCGCTGCCGGAGCCTGGAGCATCCTGCCCCGGAGCGAGGCTCAGGATCCTCCGCGCGCTCAGCAGCGGCAGGAGGAGGAGGAGGAGGCGCGAGACAGGGTTGATCAGCGACATCTATAGCCCTGGAACTGCGCGGGCTTGGAGGCAGGTGAGTTCTCAGCCCCGGACCCAGGCTATCCCACGTCCCTTTTCTCAAACCTGCGCGCCAGCTCAGGCGGGTGGTGTGCGCTCCAACTTGGCTCTCCCTGGCGGCCTGGCTCTCCGGGCAATGGGGCGGACCCCGTTCCAGGAGAGGAGCTACTAGGAAGGTTGGGTCCTGCCACCTCGCTTCAACTTTGCTGGGGCAGGGGACCCTTCCAACGCCACTACCCGCACGTCCCCAGCCTCCCTGTCACAATGGTGGAGATCCAATTGTGACCCCAGGCTATCTTGACCCCAGGCGCGTATGCCGCCTGAGGCTGGGGAATGCACAACCCTTCTCCTCTCTCCAGCTACCCCGACCCCTGCGACCATGTTGTGGACGCTGGCCAGAGTGGGTCCCAGCGGAATGGCGGGCTTGCTGGAGCACTGCTCTTTGGCTTTCCAACTTTGCCCCATCAGCCTTGCACTCCCGCGGCTGGCAGGATCCGGTGAGGCAGCGATTTTCCCCAACCTGGAAAGTTGCACCTCTCCCGCCAAGGAGACTGTTAGGAGCGCCTGGTGGTTCCCAGAGCAGAAGAGAGGCACTCTGCCAGGGCTCAGAATCTTTGCCACACACAGCTTTGCATCCAAGTGGTCCAGGAGCTAGACAGGGTTCCCAGGAGACCCGGCTTCTCTGGTCGCTGCTCACAGACGGTTGGGTCCTTGCAGGACTCTTGGGCCGAGTCCTAGGGAACAGGAAGTGAGAGGCGCGTCCTCACCCTCAGGGCAAGGTTGCCTGAGCATCCACAGCTGTCTGCGTGCTGTGAACCTGGCTTTCTGGAGCGAGTGTGGCTCGCACAGGCGGATAGCCTGAGCAGGGACCTGAGAGGGATTCCCTTGGGGTTCTAATCCTAGAGCTACAGAGCTACGGTAAGTCTCTTCCCATCTCTCAGCCTGTTTTTCTCGTGTGTGAAACAGAGAAGTCGCCGTTTCCTGGGGATCTGTTGGCAAACCTTTAAAATATCGTAGACGTCTGTGTGAAGCTGAGGGCAGGTGCTCGGCACGCGGGAAATATTGCTGGTGGTCGGGTCTGATGCATCCTGAGACAGACAGGTCCTGGGGCCTCTGAGTCTTGAGGTTTTCCGTAAACCAAACCGAGGGTACTCAGGAGGGTGATCAAGGCTGCACCCAGCCCCATCTCCCAGTCTGCCCAGGCAGCCCCTGGGGGGATACATCACGTTTCGTGGTAGATGAGACTCTTGAAAAACCTTGTCTGATTCCCAGGAAACCCCAAACCTCGCTTTGCGCACATACACAGACTGCGAAAGGAGCTCTAGAGAACCCCCTCAGAGGATGAGTCCTCAAAGGTGAGCTGGCAGGAATGATTCGCAGGTGAACCTGGAACGCCCAGGAAGTATCTACCCTAATAATGGGGAAGACGGAAAGGAACTGACCCCTCAGGCCATTCCTCCAAAGGGAGTATGGGGCAATGCAACCCTTTGCACAGCCCCACTCAGACTGAGATCAGAGCAAATAGCAGGTTTTTTGGGGGGAGGCATTAGCACAGCTCCCTGGAGAATTTATTTTCTTGGTTGGAGTTTTGCTTTTGTTTTTAGTGAGGGTTGTTTGGGGATTTGTTTTTTTAAACCTGGAGTGCATGTCAGAATGGAGTAGGGGTCAGGCCGGTTCTTTATCCTTGGGAGTCTCAGCAGACAGGTTTGAGAATCCTTCGCAGGTTCCCCAGAGGAAGCACATTGTCCCCATGATGGTCAATGATGGGCCCCAGCCCAGGTTCTAGAGGAAACTGAGGGACACCCGGCTTTGCGTATGCTGCAAGCTTCTACCGCATGCAGGATGTGTCTGGAATATATTGACTTCCCCAATAGCTAGGACAGCTACCTGAACCTCACTTTGCAGACGTGGAAACTGAGGTAGGGCCCACCAAGCTAGCTCCCCAGAGCCAACCAAGGAGACCTCCACCCAGGTTTGCGGCTTCCTAATCTGGGGGGGGGGGAGGGGTGGCTGAATGCATAGCCTGCCTGACCCTTGCCTCACTTTTATACACATGGCTCTGCTTCTACGTGTGTCCTCACAACCAAATTACCCTCAAACAGACTTAGTAAAGTCTGGTCACCCCTCCCCCAAATCCCAGAACATCCAGGGAAGGAGCAAGCAGTGTAGTGGAGACCTGTTGTAGATTTTGTCTGAAGCTGAGTTTGCTCTGTGGCTGTGCGACCTTCCAGTTGGTCACTTAACATCTCTGTGCTTCAGTCCCATTATCTGTCAAAGGAGAGCAATCACTCCTACAGGAAGCTGTTTTGGAGATGTCTTGATGTCTGTAACAGGGGTTCTGGAGACGCCGGTCATGTGTTCAAGTTGTTGATTTTTCAATAAAAGAGAGAAGAAAACCCAGGTTGCTAAGGAGCAAACATGAGATCTAGAATCTCTTCCTGCCTCTTGATCATTTTCCCCAAACGGCCATTGCCAGCCCCAAAAGGCTCTGTCTTTGTGGAACAACCCTTGGGGAAAGCTGAGAGACTGGGAGGGGTTGTGTACCAAAATCCACGGGGTGGGGTGGGGTGGGGGAGTCTCTTCACCAAGATGCAAGGAACTGTCCAAGGTGCTAGGGAAAAGTGTTCCAAATACGTCCAGCCCTCACAGGGACAAACTGCCTAGGTTTTGAAAGCATGAAGAAATTCGTGCCATGTTCTTGGTGTATGTGTGTGTGGTGTGTATGTGTGTGTCAGGGTGTCTTTTGACAGCTCTCAGCTTGCTGCCTGTCACTCAGATTCCCCGCAGATCTGGGCAGGGATGGGTGTGCTTCAGGATGCAGTTAAGAACCTCAGGCAAGAAGTGTGCCCACGGGAGAGGCTCGCATACTCGGAGGCTCAATTTGGCATTTCAAGAGCAATTTTCACACAGGCTGTTTCCATGAAGGGGTACGCTTCCCCACCCCCAAAGTGGCGTGGGGCTTCGTGGTTAATAACACAAAGGCTACAGAAGGTGTAGACATGCCCTTTTGTCTCCATCTGATGTCTGATCGCCTCTAGACATCCTCTCATCTAGTGAGTGTCACACGCCTGCCCAGCAGACCTGCAACGTCAGAGCCACAAGCTGGAATCAGAGATGCCGAGCCCCTCTGTCTGCAGAGACCTCCTCCCCTGCAGGAGACCTGAAGTGTCTGCACTTGAATAGAGCTTTTCCAGAAGATTCTAAGGCCCTCAGTTCCTGACCTCATTGTACAGAAGAGAAACTGAGGCTTGGAGAGTAATGTGACTTGTCAAAAGTCACGTAGCCCATCTCTGACAAAGTGGGGGAGGGGTGGGGATCCTCACATCTTACCATTTTGCTTAGAACTTGTGGGTGATATTTCACGTTGTCCCCACCATAGAGAAGCCCAGAGGCAGGCATGGGAGAGGGTAGGATTTTTTTTTTCTCTTTTCCAATTGTCCCTGTAAGTCAGTCAGCTGCTGTGTATTCCTCCCACCTCAGCCTTGCTAGATGTTCAGCCCTGAGTTCCCATCTAACAGGAGCCTTTGTCCACTCATTAATTTTAGAGAGAAAGTTCCTTTTGAAGTGACCAATCAGGAATAACTTTAGAATCAAGCAAATATACCCTCATTTGACTGTCACTGTTCTCACCAAAGCACCTGCTCTGTGTTCAGCCCTGGCCCAGCCTTGGCAAGTCTTGAATGTGTCTGTGGAGATTGAGCTCCTGACCCTGGGAAGGAGGAACTGAGTAGATTGCTGTGCTGGGAAGCGGAGCCCGCTTGGAGCTGTTCAGTGCAAATAACACATCAACAGAAAGTGCCGCTAAGTTTCCAGTGTGAGTGTCATTAGCAGGGCTCTTTGGACACATGCCTTGCCATAACTGTATACAGTAAGAAAAGCCAAGAATTAGGGCAGATGCCATGGGTGGTTCCACAAGGCACGTTAACCTGTGTCAGGTGTGACATCACGTATGTTGATGCTGCATGTCCAAGGGCAGGTGCCTGACAAAAGTGGTATGAGTCCCACATTGAAGTTGGCTGGAATCAGGCCAGACAACAGGCCAACCAGCAATGTTGGTATGACATTCCTTCAGGAGTGATGGGAGCACCTTGCCGTCAGGGTGCTATGGCTGAGGGCATCAGGGGAGAATTCTCAGAGGCAGGGCCATCAGAGTTGGTATCCCAGTTTGTACTAATCTCTTTGCTGGCAGGGTATCTTTCCACTATGAGCTGACCACAGCCAAATCATAAGGCAAAGGGGCTGCAGCGAATCAATAGGAGCATCATTCTCGGATGCATCCAGGGACTCAGTGACTTGGGGTGAATGAGCTGTGTTCCCTAACCCTTGGCATGTCATCCATGCAATCATAAGTTCTGTGTGAGATGCCAGGAGTTGGTGGTGGGTCAGCAGAGGCTCAGCATTGTGAAAAGGGGTAGAACCAGATAATCAAAGCAGAAAGAAGGAATCTGAAAGCAAGAGACCTCTTTGATCGGTCAGTTGATTAGTCTGGGCCTTTCCCTCAAGCTCAGCCTCTGTTTTCTATCTGTGAAATGAAGACTATGGAATCCAGTGGGTCCATCCATATAACTGCTGAGATCATGTGCTGGGCTGTCATCCAATTGTGTTTGTTGGTTAGAATTTGGACAGGAGAAGGCTTTTGTTACAGGCTTTTGTTATGTTTGATTTGGTTTATTGATTTAGGTCATCTCGGGAGTTGTACGTATAGCCCATGCCACTTGCCTGACCTCAGAGTTATTTGGGCTGCAAACCCTGGGCTAGTGGCCCTCAGAGCCCCGATGGCATCAATATTCTCTTCTTCACCTGAGAAGTATGCTGCTCGGTCATGGTCCCATAGCTATGCCCAAAGGGAGAGTTATCTGTTCAAATGGAAGACAGGAACCCTTTGCAAGAGTCATGGTTTCTGTGTGCAGTGGGGAGGAGTGTCTGTCTCACATGTTTCCTGTGTTCTGTGCATCACTGAACTTTTCTCCACCTTGTCCCAATTGGGATTTTTCAGGAAGGGGTGGTCCCGAGTCT